GGCGTCACGGGCGGGGACGGGGCGGGACCGCGGCCTGGCTGTGTCCATGGCTGTCAGCGGCTGTATCCCTGCCTGTATTCCTCCTGTATCCCTGCTGTATCCCTGCCTGTATTCCTTCTGTATACCTGCCTCTATTCCTGCTGTATCCCTGGCTGTGATCTGCTGTATCCCTGCCTGTATTCCTCCTGTATCCCTGCCTGTATCCCGGCTGTATCCTTACCTGTATCCCTGCCTGCATCCCTGCTATATCCCTGCCTCCATCCTGCCTGTGATCCTGCTGTATCCCTGCCTGCAACCCCTGCCTGTATTCCTGTCCGTATCCCTGCCTCCATCCTGCCTGCAGCCCCTGCCTGTGATCCTGCCTGTATCCCTGCCTGTATCCCGGCTGTATCCTTACCTGTATCCCTGCCTGCATCCCTGCTATATCCCTGCCTCCATCCTGCCTGCAGCCCCTGCCTGTGATCCTGCCTGTATCCCTGCCTGTATCCCTGCCTTCCATCCTGCCTGTATCCCTGCCTACAGCCCCTGCCTTCCATCCTGCCTGTACCCCTGCCTGCATCCCTGCCTATATCCCTGCCTGCCATCCCACATGCAATTTTGCTTGTAACCCCTGCCTATGTCCCCTGTCTACAACCCTGCCTCCAATCCTGGCTGCAGCCCTGCCTGCAATCCTGCCTGTATCCCCTCCTGCCTACAACCCTGCCGACATCCCCTGCCCGCATCCCCTGCCCGCATCCCCCCTGCATCCCCTCGGCCGCAGCTCTCCGGAGGGTTGCTCAGCCCTCGCAGTGCCCCAGGTGGATCCTCACCCAAACGCCATCGCAGGCAGGCGATGCCAGCGCTAATTAAGACTCTGGGGCCTAAGTGTTGGCTCCAGGGGGGTCATTACAGCCCTGAGCCGGATGCGGGCGGGCAGGGGCGCGCGGTGCCAGCGCGGCATCACTGGGAAGCACGTGCCTCCGTGCCACTGCCTCCCACATGTGGCGTGGACAGCAGTGAGTGCAGGGTGCTCCGCAGCACAAACCTCGGGATGCTCATTTAGGGTTCATACAACCCTGCCGACATCCCCTGCCCGCATCCCCTGCCCGCATCCCCCCTGCATCCCCTCGGCCGCAGCTCTCCGGAGGGTTGCTCAGCCCTCGCAGTGCCCCAGGTGGATCCTCACCCAAACGCCATCGCAGGCAGGCGATGCCAGCGCTAATTAAGACTCTGGGGCCTAAGTGTTGGCTCCAGGGGGGTCATTACAGCCCTGAGCCGGATGCGGGCGGGCAGGGGCGCGCGGTGCCAGCGCGGCATTGCCGGGAAGCACGTGCCTCCGTGCTGCTGCCTCCCACGTGTGGCATGGACAGCAGTGAGTGCAGGGTGCTCCGCAGCACGAACCTCGGGACGGTCCTTTAGGGTTTGTTTTCCAGTCCTTCCCTGCCCCTTTTGCCTCAGTAGAGATGGAAAAACCCTCTTCTGAGGGTGGGTACCGCTCATAGGAACCATGGGGCGACCCCAGAATAAGAGTTTGGTTCCTGTGATAAACACAGAGACACGGGCTGTCTAATTTGGGGGTTTGTGCCGTGGGCGGATGCTGCCGGATAAACCAGTTGCCGGGAATCGCCGTCCCCGCGCTCACCTCTGCCAGGGCGGTTGCTGGCTGGGAAGGTGGAATGGGCAGAAGTGCTAAAATCCTCAAGTTTTGCCTCCGTGGAGCAAAGGGCACCCGCTGGGTGCTGGCAGGGCCCCTGCGCCTCTGCCGCAGCCTCTCCCTCCTCCCGGATCCCAGCCCCAGCCTGACCCACTTTGGTCCCGCTCCGAAGGAGACGGGAGGTGGCAGGGACGGATGCGGTGACATCCTGAGCCCGGCACTTGGCTCAGCTCAGCTTTGGGGGGAAACACCCAGAAACCCCCCGTCGGGGGGTGCGGGAATGTCGGCTGCCCCCGCGTCTGTCTCCCAGCCCCGCTGAAACGCTGGAACCTGCCATTTCAGCCCAGTTTGGGCTGTTCTCTCCTGTGCTTGTCGCCAGGGTTTACATAACCCTCTGCCACCTCCTTCCCACACGCGGGGAATTAAACTCCAGGAGAGGAATTATTGTGAAGGAATACGTTACCTCCATGGGTTCAGCCCCGGAGAAGGGACCCCCCCTCCCTCCTCCCTCCCAGACTTTGCCTCCTGTGCCACGCACGGCCTTTCAGTTTTTCCAATCAGCAGATAAAGGTATCGTTCTCTACCATGTCTCCGCAGCAGGAAACCTTTGTCCCAGGGCACAGAGCACTGGTGACAGAGCTGCTGAGGGTGTGTTAATTCGATTCTCCCCGAGCTGACTGCATTGCAGTGCTGCTGAGCCGGTGAGGGCTCAGGGCTGCTCCTCACTCCTCCTCAGAACGGCTCACCCCTTCTCCCTGGCAACTGCCAGGGGAGGGAAACGGCTGTTGAGAGCAAACAGGATGCCGTCAACAATACAGTTTTGTTCCTGGTGCAGTTCTTGCTGCTGAAACAAACACAGAAAACACCGTTGCAGCCAGCCCCGCGCTCCCAGGCTCTCTGGAGCTGGCTGCTGGCTGCTGCTGTTCTCCCCATAAGCAGGGACGTGCTGCTGCTGATAACGCCACCTCCCCCCAAAAAAGCAGGGGGGCTGAGGCATCAGCACCCCCTTCGTGGCCACTTTTCTGGGGTGAGAGTGGCAAAAAGAGCAGTGAAGCCCACGGGCAGCGGGAGGGAGACCTGCCCCGGGGGGTGCGGGGTTAGAGCTCGGCTGCGGTTCTTGGGGGGCTCTGGAAAAGGGGTTGGTCCAGCAAAGGGGGGAGACCCCGCTGCTGGGAGGGGGGTGAAGCTGCCGCCGGCACCACGACCTGTCCTTTTCAGCCGTAGCAGGCAACGTGCCCTGATTGAGGAGCAGAAGGATTGCACTCTCTGCCCGAGCAGGACTTGCACCATCTCTTGCGACAACAAATCTCAGACGTTGGCTGGGTCCTGGGCGGAGGGAACCCAAACCTTTATTCCACCAGCCATGCCAACCAAATAACAAAACAAATGTGGCAACAGAGGGTGAAATGAGCTCTTTGGTAATTCCCTGGAGAGCCCAAACGTGGTGAGACTGTGGCCTGGACGTGGTGCTGACCCTCAGCTGGCCAGAGAGCGAAGTGGGGCAGGGTGGGCACACTGTAACCAGGGCTGGCTCTGCTCCCAAATAGGAGCTACGGGATCAAACGTGCAGCCGCCTCCAGCAGAGCCTTCCAGGATGGTTTCTGAGGTCAGCCATGCCCTGAGCACCAAGGAGAAATGCAGCAGAGGCTGTTCTATGTCCCAGCATCACTTGTTCTCTTCTTCCAAGCCCTCCGAGAGCAGAGTCTTTGCCCGTGGCAGAACATGGCATCAAGCACCGTGGCTCGTCCCGCTCCGCTGGGATTCAGCACCTCTTGACTTCTCTAGAATGCAGTAAGGTAGGTCTCTGTGGGTACTTACATTCCTTTCTTTCCTTTTTCATCTCCTTCAAAGCCTTTTACAGCCAAACCCCGCGGGAGCTGCCGCAGGAGCAGAAGGGCAGGACCCAGTAACTCTGGAAGCGAGTCCCCAGCCACCCCCCAGCACCAGGACTCGGCTCCCTGCCCCCCACCCAGCCTGCCTTCATGGTGGCTTTTGTTGCCCATACTCCTCCCTTTCCAAAAAAAACCACCAAACTTAAATGAAGTCATTACTGTATTAGGCTAATGCAGTGAACCCGCAGCAGTCTCTGGGGGAAGATTCCAGGGCTTTAGGGGCAGCATTTACCAAGACTTTACACCAGATGGTAAAAGGAGGAGGGGTGGTTTACAAAGCCCCTGGTAGCAGGGCTGGTTGGGTGGAAACCGCCCCTTCCACGAGGATTTTCACCAAAAGAAACAACCCCAAAGCGGGGATTAATGGCTGGAGAAGCTGCTGACACTGCTGCCTTTGTCAGAGGCAGGGAAATGGGGTTGGCTGGGGCTGGGATGTTGTTTTTCTGTGTGATGTGGTGACAGCGTCGCTCTGTCCCTCCGCTCTGTCCCCACGAGCAGCCCCCGGCCTCATGGGGTGGATTTCACGCTGGATCCGAAGCAGGGACAGCTCGGGGGGGTGTCTGCTGCTCTCTGCCCGACAAGAAGACGGGATAAAATAGCATTTATCCCTCCCAGGACACTCAGCTCTTTCCTGGCTTCACCTCCGGGGG